AAGTTAAACAATCAATTGTTTAGAGTAAAAATAATATATAAATAATAATAATACTATCTTGTCTTAAAAATGTTTTCTTTAAACTCATTTTTAAACAAGTACTGAATTTGAACGTCAAACTAACTAAACTAATTAAAGTTGACAGAAAACTCTTTCAAGGTATTTGCATAAAGTTGGCCAATAACTTTGGGAAGTTAAGGACTTTTGCTTCACTTCCTCGTATCTGTGGCAAATATTTCAAATTTAAATTACTGTTTTATAAACATAACAAACTATTGGAATTATGTTACAACCTATAGAATAGATATTTCAAAAATATGCAAACAAAATAGCTCAATATAAATATTTTCCCATACAAACAAATATTTTGTATTTAATTTCACGCCCACAAATACAATAAATATTTGCCTAAAAATAACAAAACCAAATCAGCAAAATGCATAAAAATTATGAAAAAGACATAAATAATTTTAGCTCAGTCTAGTTAATTTCAGCTTTATAAATATTATTGAAAATTACTGAACTGCAGCCGTAAAATTCTAAATTTGTAATCAACGCAGCCGCAAAAATTAAAGCCACGAAAAAAATAGACTAAAAATGAGTTGCCAAATATTTTGGTAAATAAAATACGTGCTGGTCCAAGCATATGTCAGGGATCTAGGCCACTGGCTGCATTATACACACACGCACACCCCTGTATATAGATCTAGTTGTGCGTTGTTGTAAAGCAGGTGAACTGCTGACCCGACGACCCAACGACCGGGCAACCCATTCATTCAAATGCCAGCTAGAGGCAGAGGCAGAGACAGAGCGAGAGAGTGAGTGAAAACAAAAGCCTACATATGCAATTCATTTACTGCCATTCAGAAGACGAACTGGCACGCCCACACACCAACACACACACAGCTGTGCAGACAGGTGTATGTCAATTAAAGCGCTGCCTGTGCCGCCTAATTGGATTTATGCCACATTTATGTGTAGGTGCAAGTTCGTGGAATTGCGAGGCATCCCATGGTTTATGCTACAAAAATCACAAGCATAATGAGCGTGGCGGAGGCGTGGCAAGCGAGGCCATTAGTCGTGCCACAAAACTCGACTCGAAACGTGGACGAAAAACAATTGCAACTTGTTGTTGTTGCTGTTGCCGTTGCCGCCGCTGCTGCTGCTGCTGCTGCTGCTGCTACGAGTACCAACAACTTTGGAGGACTTAAAATGAAATTACGCGAAAACTTTCGGACGCAGCGGCAATGGCAACTTTTTGAAGAGATCAGCCAGCAGTCAGGCAGGCAGGCAGGAGCTGTGGCTCTTGGCCACTTCTATTGCGGCTTTTGTGGCTCGTGGCACGCACAACTTGCGCAACTTGTGGCCACGGGTGGCCACATAATGAGTTTCATAAATTAACACAAATTAAAGATGCGAACAAGTAATTTACCTATACGAACTCTAACTGGATGCCCAACAAATGGCTAAGCATTGTCTGTCTCTTTCTCTCTCAAGCACACACACACACAGAGACCGACTCGCATGGCCTGTGCAAGTTTTGCGGCCATTGGTTTGTAATTAATGCGACCGGCAGCTGACCGAGCGAGGCTGCCCTGACTTGCCTGCGGTTCCCTAATGTTGGTCAGCCAATTGCCCTCGATGCTCCGATTCGCAGTCACAGTCGCAGTCGCAGTCGCAGTCACAGTGACTGTCGCTGTCACTGTGACCCTGACTGCTGGCAGCGTTGAGTGCTTTTTCTGTTTAATTTTATTAATTATCTGTGTAATCTTTGAAGTTGTCTGCCAGCATCTTAGTGTGAGTATCTATATATGTGTGTGTGATGGTGCGTGCTTCCACATATGCGTAAGAGTTTGCAGCACGGTTTTTGCGTTTGCCCCTAATCGCATCAGGCAACACTCCCTGCCTGTCTGTCTGTCTGTCTGTCTGCACATTGACTGGCAGTCGAAAAGTTTGTAGCAAGTTTGAGGAAACAGCCGCGGGGCATTTAGACAAAAGACTTGGAGCAAACGAATTAGACAGCGAATGGAGAGCATCAAACAGCAATAGAAAATAAATAACACGATTAGATAGTCAAGGAAAACTGTCTAAACTTTATTGAAGTTACTTATGGATGTGCAAAAGAAATGCTGAGCATAATGCCAAATAACAATTATAATAAAAACAATTCTGAAGAAAATAATGAATTAGCGAAAAGTTTTGAGTAACATGAAAGAAAAATTTAAATTCATCATTGAGAAGGCAAATGCAAATGAGGCCAGCCATGTCAGTATACGATGCATATATGTATTTACTATAAATGGCATACATATGTACATATATGAATTCTAATTGGATGACTCTAAGACATCATTTCTAGTCGCTTTCTCTTCAGGCATCAGCCATCATAGCGAGCCTGTGTCTATATAGCCATCTCGCTTTCACTCAGCGACAGCATGATCTACGTTCATGAACAGCTATATTTGCCTCCCTCTCTCTCTCTCTCTTGCATACTTGGCAAGTGATGCTTCATCACTCGGATAACATTTTTACAGCAACACCTTGCTGACTCTGAATCATGGTCAAATTTAACAGAATTTTAACAGAATATTTAAATACAATGATATAGAGAGCTAAGTAAGAAGTTCAATTCCCTGAAAGAGCATCTGCCTTTATTACCTGATTTTTTTTAAATTTTAATAATACATTTTAAGCAATATTATTTAAGAAATATAATATAATATACACAAAAAAATTCATATATAAATTTGTTCTCAATATTTTTTTTTATACAACTGAAGTTTGTATGGTCTGATATTTATTAATTTATATGTAAAATAATTGATCTGTATAGTTTGTCATCTTATTAACAAGCCAAATTATAAATGTATTAATATTTATATTTTGCTGCCAGTTAGCAACATATTTGTAAATAAAGTGTAAACAGTTGTAAGTTCTGCGAACTGGCGAGGTGTTAAGCAGGATTTGCTCTTTTCAGACTATGTAACTTAGCAATGCGGCCAATTAGGCGAACTTTTGACCCAGAGAGCTGGGCTCATGAGCCGACAGATAGCAACAGTAGCAGCAGCTGCTGCTCAACATGGAGCCGAGTCTAATCCCAGCCGCTGATTGGGCTTATGGAGTTGGTCGTCTGGCAACCACGGCTGAGTGCAGCCGCACTTTGGGAAGGGCTACGAAAATGAGCCTGGGCAATGGAAATGGGAATGGGAGTAGCAATGGGGAAATGCCGAAATGGGGTGATATATCTAGCCAGCACGCGTTGGGAGGCGTTTTATGGGCCTTATCACCACCGCGGACGCCGTGGAGGCCATTGCCAAAGATCTTTTCCCAGCGGCGTAATTTGACGCTCAAATATTGAAGTTTAAAACCAGCAGCGCTAATAAATGTTATAATCATAATGAGCAAATGTTTAAAGAGGGAGTGAAGAGCCGGGGAAAACACACACACACACATAAACACACACACGCTCCCGTTGCATAAGTTGAGCTCGTGCCGGAAAGCGAGAACGTTGATAAGCTCCAAGCCCTCACAGTGGCAACCCCCGTAATCGCGATTGCAATTATGAATGAAATTTGAATTGCAAGCGCGGCAAGGGCAAGCACAGCCACTGCTACCCACGCCACGTGCCGGGGCCGGGCTGCAGCTGGGCCAGCTGGGAGGAGGCTGGGAGCTGGGGCGACTCGGCGGCCAGCGCCTGGTCACGTGTCGCCATTGGCAACGGCGGCTGTGTCGGCCGAGGGGCAGCTGCGGGGCCTGCAACGGAAGTGCCAATAAGTAGTTGTCAATATTGACTGATTATCTCAACACGGCGAAAAGCGAACGCCGGGGCGGGGCGGTGCAGACAGTCGTGATTGCGATTCGAACGGAAGTCAACATAAATCACCGTCGAAATGGGGGAGAGCAATAGCCAAGCACGAAGGCACCGCTGGCCAATGCAATTATGTAGCTTCACTTGGCAGCATACTTCAAGCCAGCCGACAGGAAGAAGCTGCTGCCATTTAGCTGCACTAACACAGGAGATGCGCATAATTGCATCTGATATCAATACAAAAACCCAAACACAATCACAGTCCTAGAAAGCATGTCTATCACCATAAATAAATAAAGTTGTCCTTTGGCGCACAGTTGACGGGGGCGAACGAACCTTCAAGTGCTGCCCGCTGTCAGCCGAGCGGAAGTTTCGGAAGTGCACTGTAAGTAGTACGTAAATCGATATATGTATATATCGGCTTTAGAGGGTCTTAGACTAGACAAAATATATTGAAAAACTACAACAGAATTTATATAATAATTATTTTGCATGCTTAGCAAGTTTATTTTATATTTTTATTTCAATATCCATATATAATAAATAGTACGTGATTTTTAAATATTTAAATTTAATTGATCCAACAACAAATTAAAAAATTATATAAATAAAAAAAAAAGATTTAGTTCAGAGAGACGCAAAGCTGATTACGTCAAATGTAAAATTAGTAGCTTTACTAGAACAGCGTCTAAGATATGATATTCCTACTATTTTGGAGTTACATTTGAGACCAGTATCAATCATTTTTTAATATTCATTTCTGCTACTTTTTATACGTCTTCTGTTCTTCACTTTATTCTTTCTTAACAAAAAGAAACAAATTATGTAATAATTATTCTGAGCAAACGAGTGATAAATATAACATGAAAAATATATAATATATAAATAATAATTAGTTATGTTAAAAGATTAATTAACTTTTAAATATATCTAAATATATATATTTTTAAACATTTTAATAATCTTTTCCTTAAATTCAAATATAGTTTATAAATAGCATAATGAGTGTATGTATACGTAAATAATAATAAATATATTCCATTGTAAGTAAACAAAGAGTAAATTCCATAAGTGAAGAAGTGGAATTCTGGAAACTCTGGGATAAAGGTCTTATCGCTGGCGACTTATCATCAAAGCAAGAGAGGCCAGCGAATAACAATGAGCAGGCAGGCAGAGAGCCAGAGAGCTCGACTTCAGTCATAGTTCAGATCTAGAATGTTGCACAGCTCTCGGACAAATATCGGTTGGGTCTTGTGGCTGCTGCTGGCGCTGGCGCTGGCGCTGCAGCAGGAGTCGGCGGATGGTGCACGCTGCGCTAAGCCCGATAATCTGGAAAATGGCAGCGTTTGGCAACGACGGAACTTTATACGCTTTCGCTGCTATCCCGGCTTCATGCTGATGGGCAACGCGATGCTCACTTGCAGCCTCAGCGGCCGCCTGAGCGGCGAGCGACCCTTCTGTGCCAGTGAGTGCCAAGCGCAATGTCTGACGACAGACAAGACGCTCTATATGCATATATACACTGCTCTGATATCTGTTCTCACTTCGCGCAGAGTCTGGCTGCCGACAGCCGCCCGATCCGGACAATGGCCGCATCGAGACGCAGGGCGGACTACTCGCAGCTGTCATGTGCAACGACGATTATGTTGTGGCAGGAAACGGCATGGCCTATTGCAACGGACGCGTCTGGGATCGCACGCTGGGCAGCTGTCGGCATCGCAATCATACGCAGAGCCACGCCTGCGACTTCGAGACCGAGGATCTGTGCGGCTGGCAGCCGAGCTACTCCCTGGTGCAGCCCTGGCGACGTGTCGCCACCGTGAGTCACTTCCACTCGTATCGCACGGGCCCGCGCCACGATCACACCCTGCAGAACGCCTACGGCGGCCACTATATGCTGATGGAGACATCTGTCTTCTCCACCGGCATTCATCACTTGGTGTCGCCCATCTACCCACGGGAGCTGAGCCTGAAGACCGCCTGCTGCTTCCGTTTTCATTACTTCATGTACGGCTCGGACGTTGGCGATCTGGTGGTCTCGGTCAAGCCGCAAGAGCTGCGTGTGGAGCAGATGTGGACGGAGTACCGCAAGCAGTATGTGCTCGCAAAGCGGATGTTGCGATAAGGCATTAAAATCCACCCGCTCTCTCTCTCTCTCTCGTTTCCTCTCTCTTATTTAGATATACAAAGTTCACAGTATCGGGCAATCAGGGCAACCAGTGGCTGGAGCATACGATCTCCATTGATGAAATGCCGAGCGATTTCCAAGTGATCTTCACGGCAACCGATTCGACGTCTCACTTCGGCGACATCGCCATCGACGATGTGCGCCTGATGACGGGCAGCCAGCTGTGCGGCGGTGGGTCATACACCACGACGTCGGAGCAGCCAGTGGCCCAGGCCTTAGAGCCGGTGATCTATGACACAATGAACTGCACCAACCGCTGCAACATGCCGGCCCCGTTGGACGACGAGCTGCGCGACGATGGCAAGTTGATAAAGGCCTGCGGCTGTGATGCCGGCTGCGTTGATCAAGAGAACTGTTGCCCCGACTATGTCCAGACGTGTGTTGAAAATGACAAGGATTCCACAACGGAAACTGCAATTGCAGAAACTCTCGAATGGAAGACGACCCCTAAACCAACAACATCAACAACAACAACACGCAAAACAACAACACGTAAAACAACTACAACAACACGTAAAACAACAACGCCAACAACACCACGTAGGACAACTACAACAACACGCAAAACAACAACAACAACACGTAAAGCAACAACACCAACAACTACAACTACGAGCACCACCACTCCCCGAACAACAAAAACAACAACTACAACTACGAGCACCACCACACCGCGAACAACAACAATAGCAACAACAAAGCCCACAACAAAGCCCACAACAACGCCCACAACAACAACTACAACAACTACAACGACGACGACGACGACGACGTCGACAACATCGAGCACTGCTGGGAAAACTGAAACATCTGGTATGTTCTTTCTGTTAATAAATAAATTAAATGAATAGTTATATGAAACGAGAGTTAGAGATACAAAACATTCAAATAATACATACTTTTTATTTTATTGAAATTTAAATTTTAATTTATTTTATTTTATTTTATTTTCTTGAACATTTAATTTGCTGATACAAATTAGTTTGGCCTGAGAAATATTCGTAATAATTTAATATGACTAAGATTTTTTCAATTTTTAAAAAACTAAATGTATTAAAAGTTTATACTTATATATGTATATTTTTTGGAGAGTATAGAAGGAGTCCAAGCATTTAGTTATACATTAACTGTATATTAACCATATAAGCACACGATCTATTAATTTTTAACTCATTTAAATCTAGCTTCAAAGTTTTATTATTGTTTTTTTATTGCTATTATTATTATTCATCTTCAATTCATGCTATTTTCAATTCGTCTACGTTTATTCTCAACTGAATTCCACGTACTCTCCTGAAGCTTACTCAAAAAACTTAGCTTACCGCAACTTGCTTACTCGCTTAAAAAATAAACAATAATAATTTATTATTAATGATAATAATTCTTAGAAATTTAAGTATTGCTTAATATTTCACTTTTTACACAATTTCACAAAATTCACAATTTCTATGATTCTCATTATTTTCCATTTTGCAGCACATCCCACAAAATCTCATCGTGGCGTCATTTCCTGGACCGTGTCGCCGGATGAGATCAAGAGTGAGAACGACAGACGGAGTGCCTCGAATCCGGCACGTTTCCTATGGTTCCTAATGCTGGCCGTCATGCTGATCGTGATCGTTGCCAGCGTCACGTACCGCTGGAGGAGGCCCAACGGCGGCAGCAACGAGAAGGCCGTCAGCTTTCAGAAGACCTTCGCCAGGCTAAAGAACGCCTCCATTCTAGGAGGACGCCGCAACGAGGATACAGCCGCCCTTGTCAGCGACGGCGATGATGTTCAGTTCGAGGAAATGGGCGTGGACATACGCAATGTGTCAGAGCTCTAGCTTGGATTGAAATTGTGTACAGACACCTAGCGCTAGATAACTGTAGCACCTCCCCTACAACTCTACTCTACTTAACTTAACTTAAGCCAAACAAATTGTGTATCTATGGGTTGATGAAAATTTATTTTAATATTATTACCATACATTATATACAATTAAAATCGTAATCTTATAAATTTATAATTAAATAGGTTGAAGATATAAAATGTTGAGCGTTTGAATAAAATAATAAAAATATAAAAGAAAAATAAGGAATGCTAAAAAGAAAAAGAAATTTATAAAACAGACGAAAATTAATTTAAGAAAAAATACTATCATTTAAAAATAAAAAATAAAATTTGCTATTCAACAACTCTAGACATATGAACTGAATAAAAATCAATATAATATATAAATAAATAATAATATTTGCAAAATTAATGAAGTATTCCCAGTAACAAGAGTAAGCTCGAACCCCATTGCTTATCATTATTATGAAAATCTTCCTTCAAATTATATGAAAATCTTCCTTAAAATCTCATCCATCGAATTTTCCGGCTATTTGTTCATGTTTATTGTATCAGCTGCGCATATCGATTGAGTTTCATGGATTCAGATTAAGATTAAATAATGAATGAGCATCGGCCTGGGCTAACGAGCACTCTGAGCTACTTGCTGCGATCCCCTAATGAAATCTCTATATCCGTATCAGTTGCCATAGCTCTAGGCTATGTGTGCTGCACGTGTCCTGCTGCTGCTGCTGCGGCTGCAACCAGCAGCCCATGGGCAACCACCAAGCCAATCCGACTCCTGCTGCTGCTGCTGCTGGCTGCTGCTGCTTCGGCTTCGGCCTCTGCTGGTGCTGTGCTGGCTTTAGTGCCATCGTTTCTCAACCACCCATTACGGGGCTGGCTCATGTTTTAACAGCGGCTTTTGGTTGTGATTTAGTGGCTGGCCAAAGCGACAGCAGCAACAGCGATGCCCCGGCTTAGCGTCTGGCCAGACCAGCTTCCAGTCCTTATTTATCCCCCACACTCCGGCTTGGAAAACCGTTTTGTGCGGCACTCAGCACAAATTTTGGGCATTTCGTGCAATTATTGCCGGGCAGCAGACACCCAGAGTGCCGGAGTGGAGGGTGAGCTGCCAGAGCCCAAACCAAAAACCAACCACCAGCAGTTTGCACGCTCAACAAATTTTCACAAGATTTTCACAGTGCTTGGAAAAGCGTTTGCACGATTGCGCGGATTTTTGCATTTCCTTTCACGTTTTTTGTTTTTTTTTTTTTTTTTTTTTTTTTTTTTTTCAAATTCAAACACCCCTTAACCCTTGTCATGCCTGCTCCTGTTTATCCTGTTTGGCTTTGTGATTTAGCGCCCGCTGCTCTATCGACTTCTCACACATCATTTGACGAACTTTTCTTCATTTTTTCCGTTTTAATTAAAATGGCATTTTGATGTGGATGCACAGCCTGGAGAGCGCCGTGCCTCGGGGCACTTTGGGGGCATTTTCTTAATGCGCATTGAGCCCTAATTAAATGTGAAGTACGTTGAGTGCTGCTTAGCAGCTTAGCATGTGGGGCAGGGGTCTGGCTGGTCTGGCAAGGGGCGTGGCGTCGTTAATTTCAAGTCACTTGATGGAAGGCACGCACAACATTTTTGCATGCCACCCAAGCGACTCTTATCTGTGGACAAGCCCACACATGAAGACACAACAGCCGACCACCCCCTCTCGCAACCCACCCACCCTGCTCAGCGCCCTCCCCTGAGGCCATATCCGTTTACAGTTTCATTCGGCGCTTATCGCCGCAATAAATCGCATTAATTTATTGTCCTTGCCGCATATTTTGTCCACTGAGCCGCGGCTCCAGCGCCAACCAGTTACAATTTAATGGGCTTGTCCATAGGGTGCCCATCCCTCTCTACACCACCAAGCCCCCATTTCTCATAGTGTTATTATTGTTTTCCATTTAACACTTTTTGGCTTTAGCTACCTGAAAGAATGCCCAATGCAAAATGAGCAGCAGGAGAGGAGGATTGTCAGGGACTAAGAAATACAAAAGCTTCTGAAAATATTGCAGATCAGAACAGAAGCTTAACCACAGGGCTGATTATAGTATCATTGTCTTTGTCATTGTCATTGTCATTGTCATTGTCATTGTCATTGTCATTGTCATTGTCAT